TCCTGCCACTGTGCTTGCAGGTACCAAAGCTTTCAGGCATGATATGCTACAATGATTTGGTTCAATCAGCTCACAGCTGATCCATAACCCCTTGTGACCAGGTCTGAGCTGTCTGCACAGGCTTTATGCCAACATGATGGAAGAGGCAGAGCTTTGGATGCTTTTCCAGGGTCTAGAAGTAGCTTTTATTTGTAGTTTATGGTGGGATGGAAGAAATATGCCTTTGGTCTGAAATGTTCCAGGCAGCTGTTCCTGCTGGGGGCTGTTCTATGTGCCCCCAGAAGAGGTGGCTGCCCAGCCCTATTCCATTGGCTCCAGGATCTCTGTGTTATCCAGCTCCTTCTGGAGATTGTCAATGTCATGAATGATCTCTGTGTTATCCAGCTCCTTCTGGAGATTGTCAATGTCGTGAATGATCTCTATGTTATCCAGCTCCTTCTGGAGATTGTCAATGTAGAGAATGATCTTTTTGATATGGTAATGATTTCTGTTGATCTCATTTTGGTAGGCCTGGACAGATTGAAACCAAGCAGTGAATCTGCAGGTGTGTCAAGGTCCCTTGCCAGGATCCCTGGAGCACAGAAAGCTCCAGCAGAGGTCAAGGAGCATCTCTCCTTGCAGTGTCCCTTCCACTTGGGCCAGAGCTGTCTGTGCTCCATCCCTCTGAGCACAAGGATCTCTTACCTGCTCTGTCACAAAGGTCTGCCAGTGGTAGGTGTTGCAGAGGATGTCGCTCTCTCTCTTATCAATCTTCCGCAGGCGGATGCTGTGGGACATGTTGGCGGCATTGACAATGGTGTTTTTGTCCACGAGGAGCTGGGAGGTAACGTGACCGGATGAGAGGAGGGGGTGGGCACACAATGAAGGCAGCAGAGCTTGGAAGGAGCAGCACAGCAACTGCATTGCTCAGGGGAAGAAATCGACCCTCTGGCAGGCAAATGGGGATGAATCCAGTGCTTTACCTTTGGCCTCACTACTGAGTATTATCCCTAGGACAGGTGGAGAAATTGAGGCAGCACCCTGGGCCTCACGTGCTGGAGCAGGGAGCTCTGTGCAGGCAGGGATGCTGTGCAGCTGCTATTGAAGCAAGGCTGCATATGCTCCAGCATGCCTGGAAATGGAAAATCACACTTGGATGGGTCTCCTGCACTGGTGGCACTGGCTGTAAATCTTCATCTTTGAAGAGTCCCAGCTTCTAATGGAAGCTGTGACTTCCCCCATGGTTCTAAATAGAGGGTGGCTTCACTAAACCATAATGACTCTCCTCCTGCAGCCAAGTGCAGCTGCTGAACAAATGAAGATTGCTGCTCCATGGAAATGGATGGCAGTGAGGCAAAATGGGTGTGCAGCAGTGGTGCGGAACCACTGCCATCTGCACAGGCCATAAAGCAGGGAGCTCCCCTGGGGGCTCAGGGGTCTGGTTTGTGTCTGTCAGCTCTTGATTACCTGAAGTTACAGGGGACTGGGATAATCTGGACAGAGCAAAGCCACAGTTAATGTAAACTCCAGTCATTTAGCCACTAAATGAAGGAATAACGGAGGGAAAAAGGGGAGCTGTGTTGCTGAGGGAGCACTGCAACCATCTTGGTGCTTTTGGAAGGGCTTCTGGGATCTTCACTATCACAGCAAGACTGAGGGCTCGGTGGAAGGCTCCATTCAAAGTGTCATGTCCTGCCTCCAGATCAGATGGGCTGCAGAGCTTTAGAAGGGCTTTTGAAATCACTGAGGCAAACAGAGCCCCAGTGCAAGAAATTCAGAGCAGTGCTGGGATTCTGCTGGGGAAGCAGGGAGAATCTGAACAAAACCAGCTGCGAATGAATGCAGCAAAGATGCTGCCTGAGTGCCTGGAAATTAGCCAGAGCAGTGAGTTGTGCTGGAGGCAAGAAAGAGGCTTCCTCAGCACCTCTCCTGGGCTGCTGCCACCAACTTCGGCAGTGCCCAGAGAAACCTGCAGTGCAGTTATCCCCTGTCCTAGTCAGCAGAGATGTCCAGAGGCACTGCAGTGGCTGAGCCTCTTGGGAGGAGGTCATGCTCTGGTTCAGGCATGGCTCTAGCAGCACTGAACCTCCTGGAAGTCCTGTCCCTTCAGAGAAGAGGCTGTGGCCTCCTTTTCTTGTCAACTCCCTAGCAGAGATGAATTTTTTTGGTGCCCTTACCATTTCAACATCTTGTGACAAATCCTTGTCAGGCACTTTCTTGTCTGATTTCTCCAGGGCGGTGATGGAGATCTCCAGCAGCTTTTCATGGTAATGGTTTTCCAGGTCCCGGCATTGGGTCATCATACAGAAGGTGTTAAGGAAAAGACTGATCACACCACTCACCTGTAGAGATTAAATGACCTCCTGTAACTGGAGACTGAGTGTCCTCACAGTGGACTGCTGCAGGAATGAGCCTGGCTTTCCCCAAAAGCTGCTGTGGTGCCAGGATATACACTTTCTGCTCTTAATCATACATTGGTTCTTATCTTTGCTGCCAAATAGGACACAGAACTGAGAGGGGACCTAGGTTTGCAAGGGAAATTGGAGGAGGCCTCCAGGTGAAAGCTAAGCTGTGAGTGCAGTGCAATTACTTGCACCAAACCAACAGATTTCTGTGTTTAAATCAGAGTAACCTGTCACTGAAGCACTTTGGTGTCCTCATCTCATTTTTTTTTTCCAGAAGACATCACAAACACAAAAATCAAAGCCATTTAAAGACATTTTAGCAAAAATTCTAGCTATTTCATTGGCTGCTTTGGCAAGAATATACCTAGAAAACAGCCTGACCAGATCTGCCCAGGGTTTTGTCTTCTGTGTGTGGAGAAGAAAGGAAGGTTCCCAGCATGGTGAAAGCTGCAGAAATCCTACAGACGTTCAGCACTGAAGGACTCAGATCTTTTTGTGCTCTCCAGAGTCTCCACAGAGAGCAGTTATGCACCTTAAATGACCATTCCTCAAAGCTGGGAAAAGATCTTCTCTGTTGATTAAAAAACAGATATTAAAAATAAAGTTTTTACACTGATGGCTCATTTCTGGATTTGGAGGTGAGGTGTAGGTACATCACTGGGAGCTCCAGGCCAACATACTGTGAAAAGGATATATCTCTTGAACATTTTCAATGAATGTTGATGCTGTGACATCAGTGCTTCTTTTAAAATCCTTTAATAGTTCCTTAACAGAGGGGAAAAAGAGGAAACATCACAATGAAAACTTACATAAACATAACAGGGAGTCAGAGAGTCTAGGAGGAATCTACAATTTATTGTAATTTGGACTCACTGCTGTTATTAGCACAGTCAGAAACTGAACTGCCTCAAGCATTTAAAGTGTTTTCAAAGTGCTGCAAGATTTTCTTTGCTCCTTCGGGGACAGAAAATCAGAATCAGTTAATTGGAGGGAAGTTGACTGAATGATGCCTTTACCCAGTGTCTGGGGCAAGCCAGCTGAGCCTTCCCTACCCTCACCTAAGCAATGCCTGGAGAGGTCTGTATTCCCACACTCTGCCATGCTGCAGCCTCCTTGTGTGTAGGAAGAGCCTCTTGTTGGAAGCATAACTACAGCCTGAGCTTACTACAGCTTTTGGTTAGTCCTCAGAAATCAAAAGTGCTGCTGCCTGTTACCTCTCTCAAAAATGGCTGATGGAGAGTCTGTGAAGTGTTGCACTTAAATGTCTTGATACCCAAATCCTGCGTATCCAGCAAGGCACACAGGGAGAAATGCTTCTGCTCATCCCAGCAGTGACTGCAGACACGTGAAGGCCAACTCAGAAAACACTAAAAGGCACAATCCTGAGGCAGTGAGGATCCATTTTGAGCTGCTCCTTTCTGCCATCCACACTCACAAAAGTAAACTGCTGCCTCTGCTTGCACACAGGCTGCAGCTCCTGCCTGCTCATTTTGAAACAGATTACTTGGTTTTTCCTTAAATGAAGATGCACATTAGCAGCCCTGCCCTAGTTTTTGAGGAAAAGTCTGGGGAGGAAAAGGTAGCTATTAT